GCCGTCATTGTTGTTTGGCAGGTCCGGGCTGGGGATTCGAACCCGCCACCTTAGGTGTACATGGCTGGCGCCTTAGCCAGTTGAACTATAGGCGCCGAGCCGATATTTTTTTAAAGTCAGTGATCCATAGAAAATTTGAAACAACAGAACAGTGAGCACAACTTCTATACTCTTGTCTAGATTCACCAACAACCTCTTAACCATACTTTTTCTGCCTTTGTTGCCATACACATTTCTCTTTTGCCAGACCATCTAAAAGTAAACCATAGCCATCAGAAATATGCTATTTTAATTATTACTTTATCTGCTGCTTAGTGCAGCGGAACAAGAATACTGTAGTTTGTTGTGTAATTGGTGCTAAATGTTAAGACATTAGTGCTTCTTATCTGATGTCTTGGGTACATTTTGTTAGAGTCAGAGATACTCAGATTAGGGTTATTTTCATAACAATCCCTGTGTGACGCTTAATTTCTAAAGTCTGTGTGATCACAGAAGAAATATTTGACTAGTTGTTAGTACATTTAAGGCCCTAAAATTTAGTGGCAGTAGTGTTCTTGAATAAAAATAAAGTTAAAAATAGTTAAAATACTACATGTTTTTAAAAAATGTCTTTGCTTTTACATGATAACCAATTTGGAAAAAGGAAAAGTTCAGTATTTGAAGTAGAACTTGAATTACAACTTGAATCCGTAATTGGTTGGAAGGTTTATTTATTGTTACAAATTGGTGCTTTCTGATGGAAAATGCATGCATTGTAATCACTTAAGCTAAATATGACTACAACTGTAAGAGCTTTTTTTTTTTTTTTTTTTTGGTCTAGGAGATTTTGATGAATTCACTCAAGATAATAAGGACATCATTTTGAAAAGCATAGCAGAAGACCTTCGTAATCACTTGCCTCTAGAAGCTATGCTTTCTTCAGAACAGCTAGCCCTTCAAAAAGTAAATACATTACAATAATTTGCTCTTAGTGCTACTTAAGCATTCTCCTATTTTTCCTTAACACCTTTCTCATCTAATTAGTCCTAACTTCAGTTGTAAGTAGTTTTTCATTTAGTGCTTCAACTATGTCCCCAGTTCTTCTGAGTCCTTAACCCAGTGGTTCTCAACCTTCCTAATGCCATCCATGGCCGTTTAATACAGTTCCTGTGGGTCATGACCCACAGGTTGAGAACCGCTGCCTTAACCCTTTGTCTCCCTAGTGCTATTCATTCAGCAAATATTTTCTGAGAGCATCCTGTTTGCTAAGCTTTCAAAAATAAAAAACAATCACTGCCCTACAATGGCCAACAATATAGCCCTGCCTACACAATTGTCTTGGTTTTCTCTTCACTGTTCCACTCGCCCCACTCTTTTCAAGGGTGAAGCTCATGGTATATTTCTTTCTCCTATATTCACATTGCACATTTTTCCTTATTCTTCTGTTCGTTGTTTTTTTTTTTTTTTTTTTTTTTTTGAGACAAGAGCCTCCAGCTGTCCCCCTGGGTAGAGTGCTGTGGCATCACAGCTCACAGCAACCTCCAACTCCTGGGCTCAAGCGAGTGTCCCACCTCAGCCTCCCGAGCATCTGGGACCACAGGCACCTGCCACAACGCCCAGCCATTTCTTGGTTGCAGTCGTCATTGTTGTTTGGTGGGCCTGGGCTGGATTCAAACTCGCCACCCTGGGTGTACGTGGCTGGCGCCCCAGCCACCTGAGCCACAGGTGCTGAGCCTATTCCTTTATTTTTAGAATTAGTTCTCATTTTTCTTCTCCATATAGCCCCCTCATTCAAGTTCCTTCAAATCCCAGGCCTCCTGAGTCCTATGTTATGAATATTGTTTTATAAAACAAAGCTAATAATAACTCTTCTTTACCAACTAATCTAAAAAACAGCAATCCTCTGTGTGGTTTTCAGCCTATAATACTGGAGAAGAAAAATGAAATCCTGTACACTTTTTTTTTTTTTACTAATTTTTTTTTCCTAAAAATCAGGTCTCACTCTGTCACCCTGGATAGAGTGCCCTGCTGTGGTATCATCGTAGCTCACAGCAACGTCAAACTCCTGGGTTCAAGCCTCCTTCTTGCCTCAGCCTCCCAAGTAGCTGGAACTGCAGGCACGCTCCACCATGCCTGGGTAGTTTTTTTGTTTTAGTAGAGATGAGATCTCACTCTTGCTCAGGCTTGTCTTTAACTTCTGAGCTCAAGTAATTTACCCACCTCAGCTTTCAACAGTGCTAGGATTATAGCCATCCAGATATTGAGAGTAGATTCTCAATGGAGGAACATAGTGAATAGTATAAAAATTGAGAGAAATATTTATGATATAGTTTGGCTTTTTTTTTTTTTAAGACAGGATCTCATTCTGTCACCCAGGCTGGAACACAGTGGCATGATCATAGCCCACTGAAGCCTTGAACTCTTAGGCTCAAGCAATTATCCCACCTCATCCTCCCAAGTAGCTAAAGTGTCACCAGGCCCAGTTAATTTTTTTTGTTTTGGCTCTGCGCCTGTGGCTCAAGCGGCTAAGGCGCCAGCCACATACACCTAAGGTGGCAGGTTTGAATCCCCAGCCCAGACCTGCCAAACAACAATGATGGCTGCAACCAAAAAATGGCCAGGCGTTGTGGCAGGCGCCTGTAGTCCCAGCTACTTGGGAGGCTGAGGCAGGAGACTTGCTTGAGCCCAGGAGTTGGAGGTTGCTGTGAGCGTGATGCCATGGCACTCTACCCAGGGGGATAGCTTGAGGCTCTGTCTCAAAAACAAAAAAAAAACAAAAAAATTTTTTTCTTTTTGTTTTTAGATATGGGATCTCACTATGTTGCCCAGGCTGGTCTCAAACTCCTGGGCTCAAGTGATTCTTCCGCAGCCTCCCAAAGTGTTGGGATTACAGGCATGAGCCACTGCACCCTGCCTGAATATTATTAATAAAGCAGTCTTATTGTATATACCACAATATATAAGATGAGAGGGGAAAAGTATTCATTGTATGTTAACAGCTGATCGACAGTCTTTTAACAAATTAAGGTCTTTTTATCTTCACTTTCTTTCTTTATAGATATCCATACCTGATTTTTACATATTTATAACATAGTTTTCATTGTGTAAGTGGATATATAATTTGTAGGTAGCCAAATAGGATTCTTTATTATAGTTAAAGTAGGAGTCAGACACTTTCCTTTGTAGCCACTCCCTATTATAACTTATATCACGAATATGAATAAAGGGCTAGTATTTGTAAGCATTAATTTTTTTTGTTTTTTTTGTTTTTTTTTGTTTTTGAGACAGAGCCTCCAGCTATCCCCCTGGGTAGAGTGCCATGGCATCACGCTCACAGCAACCTCCAACTCCTGGGCTCAAGCGAGACTCCTGCCTCAGCCTCCCAAGCAGCTGGGACTACAGGCACCCGCCACAATGCCCGGCCATTTTTTTTTTTTTTTTGGTTACAGCCATCGTTGTTTGGCGGGCCCGGGCTGGGGATTCGAACCCGCCACCTTAGGTGTATGTGGCTGGCGCCTTAGCCGCTTGAGCCACAGGCACTGAGCCAGCATTAAGTTTTAATAACATTTTTATTATTTATTATTTGCCTAGAATGCAAAGTTTTCAAATAATAAAAATTTGCCTAGAATGCAAAGTTTACTTGTTAATATTACTTGGTAAGTCACTGCCATGTAGGACTCAGAAGACCTGGTATTAGTTTCAACTTTCCCCTCTACTATTTCAAGAAATCTCTCTGGGTATCAATTTCTTTGTCTGTAAAATATACTATAATACTTAGGATGGGCAAGATGATCTCTAATATTCCTTTCAACTAAAATTCTGTGTATTCTTCAAAGCTATTTTGCATCATTCTAGGTCAAATAAAAAGTTGCTGGGGTCTCAGAAATAAAATGAAAAAAGAACAGTTACTGACTTGAATAAGTGAAATTTATGTTTCTGTGCCTTCTTTTTGCTCTCAAAATTTTAGCATATGAACCACTGATGTTTTGCCTTATTTAGCAATAAAAGGAAATTTCTTTGTACTGAGTTTCTTTTGATGTTTTTCTCTTCCCACCAGATGCAGCAGCAGCCAGACCCCACAGTTCACGTTGATGCATTCCTTTATGATGAAGACTTTATTGATTCATTATGTGAGGAGGGAAAAATGAGCAGAAACTACTGTATGGTGTGTGGCTCTCACAAGACAGCACCTTTAGGTAGGGGCTCCGGCATGCAAATCTGATGACTTTGTATGTGTACTTTTTTTTTACATGTCATGAGTATACAAATTTTTGACCAAGCCATTCAGTATTTTTTTAAACATCTACAGCAATTAAGGAAACTGAGTATTAATAGAAATTTTATATAGGGAGGCTAGGCTACTTATTGTTCCCCAGGGCACATCTACAAACTATTTTTCACACTTAAAAACTATTTAATTAGAGGTAACTCTTAGATTCAGAAACTAATCAGAAGTGACTGAATCCTTGACCACCAACTCATAACTCTACATACTCAACAGAGATTAATAATATTAACCATACGCTGATTTACAATGAGAAATATAACTTCCAAGGGAGCTGAAATGTTCTCCCTATGAAAACATTTACTTGAGAAGTCATACAGTGAGCAGATGTTATTGGGTGGGCATGGACTCAGATGACAGAGGTAATCTTGAAAAGCAGTTTATCAGGCCATAATGTGACCGAGTGAAGCATCCTGAACTATAACAGAGAGCAACTCTAGTGACAGGCTCCTGCATCTCTGCCCCTCAGCCTCAGTACCTATGTCCAAAATACAAAACTATACTAATTCTATGCTGCCAATATGTTAAGGCTTCTATTGATACATTCTTTGTTCAAACTAGGTATGATTGGTCTGTTGCTTTAGGCAGGTATCTCCCAGCTTAATTAGATTTAGAGTTGTTGTACAGGGTGGGCTATCCCTCCTGGTAAATAATTTTGTGCTTATAAGTATGTTACTCATTGAGGAAATATTCTCAAAGGTTAACAACTACCAAATTTGGAATATGTTGCTAATACAAATATATTTTACCTATATTATAATTTGGGATTAAATTTCTCTGATTTACTGGCTTAAGATTCTATTTCTGGATAATACTTCTAATTTCTTTTTGAGGTAGTTAAAATTCACAAAATGAAAAGGATGTGGATAAGAACAACAGAGTAAAAACTAAAAAGTGAATTATAACACTATGTCAAATAGATCTCTGATTTATAGCAATTCACAGGAGAGCTATAATCGGCAAGTAATAATTTGAAGATTTATCTGCCTATAAAAACCAAGTTTTTAATGACTGGGTACCCAGGCCAGCCCAGATAAATATAGTGACTCAGAAACATCTATTGCTATGGTAAACGCTTCCTCCCACATGACATGGGGCATGTCTAGCTACAGGACATTAACAGTGACTCTGTAGCTCAGAGAAGTACAAGTATGCCAAAGAGAATGATGAGCATGATGATCCTAGGGAGATAAGGACTACACTGGTCAAGCCCGCCCCACTAAGAATTACTCTGAGACCTGGTCTCAAAGGATTGGCCTGCCTGCTTCCATTTTCTTTGCCACTATCTATTTGTTGTGACCAAAGTTTCCCCCTTCCTGCCCATTATATTATGTAGAATATAATATAGTAAGTCTTAGGGTTACCTCCATATCAGAAGAAAGCCAGACTCAGGCTATCCCAGATGCTTACTTCATGACAGCAATTGGAGTGAGAAGATAGACTGAGAGGCTAGAAATGTGGCAGTTAAGCTAAGCAGGATAAGAGCAATTTCTGGAGTTATCTTAATCTCGCTTCATATCACTTCTCTCTTGTACTCCAGGACACATTCTAGGTTGGTCAGGGCCACCACGTCACATAACTCCAGAGATGGGTGTTTGTTGGGTAGTATAACATCGTTGTAGCAGTATAAGGCAGTTCTGAGGTTTGAGTCTGGGGTTAAGTGAGAAAGTCCGATGGTATGGAAGTTAGAAAACCATTCCAGGCAGCAACAGGTCATAGGGAGAAGAAGAAGGGAAAACCCAGGACATCCCAAGAAGGGCACAGGGATAGGGATGGTCATCTAAGTAACTGTTCCCTTGAGGTCTTATATGGCAGAGACTAAATATTTATTCTTTAGTTACCATTTAGAGTATAAAAACAAAGTTATTTTTTTTCTAAATAACCTCTGGATTTCATTGGTTAGGGAAAAAAACTGTGATATATATCTTATAAATATAGGTAAAAAAATTCAAAGTACAGAATGTTATTATTCATGCCTAAGCAAATTTGACGTTCACTCTGTTCTAATTCTCCAGGATTTATTTCTCATTCCTTCTCCCTCATGGAATTGAAGTTCATGTATCATCATGTTCTCCCTGATCTGTCCGGAAAGATCTTGGTTGATGTTGGTTCCAGGCTCGGCACAGTCCTTTATGGGGTAAAGTCCAGCTTGTGGACATACTCAACATTTGGAAAATACTTTCTTCTCCTGCTAACAACAGCTTTGCCTGCCACCATGCAAGGTGACAGCTTGGCTTTATTTATTAAAGTAACAGAATAAGGAGGTTAAAATAGTATAGCATCAGCAAGAATTTAAATTCTACTTGATGGTAATAATTGAATTTGGAATTTTAAAGGCAGGCTGTATGATTTTCTATACTACTTTGTCTCTGCAACAAAAATGAAGGAATATCAACAAAACAGAAGCAGGTGACTTTCATGACACTTTTGCTATCCTATCGGTCACTGCTGTCTTCTAACCCTTTCGTTTTTTGGTGCCATTCTAAATTGGTATGCTGAGCTTTGATAAGAACTCTTATAAAAAAACTGACAAATTAACTTGACCCAAGAAATTGCTGTATGGCCATAAGCAAGTCAGTTAGCAACTTGGGGCTTCTAGTGCCCCATCTGTAAATGAGCACTAAATGATAGCCAACGATACATCTTGCTCTAATTTTCTATGATCCTCAGTTTGAATGTTTGTTTCTAAAGTATCTCTTCAAAGTAGCATTTTAGAAAAATTCAAATCATGAGGCTTTCTTATGTTCTTAAACAGTTTTATCAAAAAACTCTAATGTGGTTTCTGGTTGTCATTAGTAGACTTGTTAAAACATGTGGCCAACAGCCCTCGAGATTCATGCCAGAAACAAGCACTATCAGTTCCCAGCATCATGGCTTGTTTTCAACAGAAAAAGTTAACTCTTTAGTGCTTAGTTTATTTTTCAGTGTTCAAGACTCAATTAGGAAAGGTAGCCATAATAGAAAATATACAATTTATCAAATTGTTGTTTACTTGGAGAATGTCAGAGACTGATTATTTACCATACTTTGCCTACCCTAGTCAATTTTCTGATTTGTTTGAAAAGTGTAAGGCTAATATATTTATGCTCATAGTGTCAGCATTGAGAAATTTTAAAATATTGTCATTTTTATTCCTATTAGTCACTGATTAAGTCAATAAAATTTTTTTGAATGCCTGCATATGCCCTGTTGAACATACTCTAAAAATCTATGATCTACAGATATAAATTTGGTTTTTACATAAGTTGCTATTAAATGATCTTCAGAAAATGATTTGGTCTTTCCCTCCAAATTATTGTTTTATTGTTACTGCAACCAAAACTAGAAATATAACAATATATAGTCAGTTCTTGATTATCCTTATTAATTAACTGGTTGATTATCTTTGACAAATCACCAGGCTGATTTTCCTAACCCAAACAGTACCTCAGGCCAGCCTCTCTACTGGCACACTGTGCATGATTTTCCATTGTATTCCCCACAGCTTAACTCCTTCTTGCCTTCCTCTGATGTAACTTCCCAAGAAATTACAGAAGTTGGATATTAAACAGAATTTTCTCATTCTGACTTTGTTGAATACCTAGTTTTATCAGGAAAAAATTATCTTTAAAACTATAACTATTATAAATAATGAGAATTAATGAACTACAATCAAGGCCTTGATCAGTAAGAGTCTTTCAAGTTCTGAAAGTTGCAAGTTTTATATAAGCTACATGATGTTATTTATCTTTCACTTTATTTTTACTTTATTATAGTTTTTTAAATTTGGCTCTTTAAATTTCAACTAGAAGTTAATTTATTTGCTCCATTACATATCTCCCTATTTTAGGGTTATCTTTACAGTTCAGCAGTGCAACTCTATGGAGTAGAACTGAATGGAGATTTTTGCCGGTTGCAGGAAATGATCATAAAAAAATACCAGTTCACTGACAGAATACAGGTACCTTTTAAAATATATTTTCTTGTTGCTCATTATATAACTTAGCCAAATCTCTTCTTGTGATGTTTTCAAATCTCTTTTGGTTGCCATTGTGTATTAACAGATCAAGTTGACTTAATCTTTCAAAATATTAATAGAGATGAGTTATTATAATTGTATCCTACTCATATTTCTCTTTCCTAATTTTATTAGAAAATAAAATTTTTTTCTTAATTTTCTTCATATCAGCTGTGGTTCTTTTTTTTTTTTTTGACAGAGTCTCACTTTATCTCCCTCGGTAGAGCGCTGTGCCATTACAGCTCACAGCAACCTCCAGCTTCTGGGCCTAGGTGATTCTCTTGCCTCAACCTCCCGTGTAACTGGGAGTACAGGTGCCTATCACAACACCCGGCTATTTTTTTGTTGCAGTTTGGCTGGGGTCAGACTTGAACCCGCCACCCTCAGTACATGAGGCCGGTGCCCTACCTGCTGAGCCACAGGCTGTGGTTCTTATAGCAGCATTTTTTAATCTCTAGAGGTTGGCTAGAAATGTATTTTAACTCTGAATTTTGAAAGTAAGCAAAAGGGCTAAGTAATGATCACCGTTCTTTATCTTCCTGTATGTAAGGTTTCAGGAGGTATTGTGGGTACCACAGAATAACAGTTCATAGGGAAATGCCTTGGGTTAGGCTATGACAAAAGTTTTTTCTTTTTCCCTGTATTTAAGGTAAAAAATAAAAAGGCAAAGGAATTTTGTGGCTAATGTAGTCCTGGTTATCATTTCACTAAAGATCCTACACTCTGATGGCAATGCAGAGAAATACTGAGTATCTCTAATGTTAAGGGCAATCTGATGTTGAAAGACATACCTCAGTAAGTTTAAGGGTCTAGTCAGTCCCTTTTTTTATAGAAGGAAATTATTTTATTCCCTCCTCCTCTCCTGTTTCCTGTCTCTCTTATTTCTTCTCTCTGTCTCTCTCACATCAGAGAGGCAAAGGATTAGAGTAAACTCATTGCCCAACAATAAGTTCATTATCCCATATGTAGTAAACAATATAACATGCTGCTCTTACATAATAAGAATTATGTAACTAACAGGAATTTCAATTTAATCGAAAAGCGAGATTCAATATTATGAACTCTTAAGGATCATAGCTTATAAATGGATTATCAAATAATGATTTTTCTAAGAAGATGGAAAAGGTGTACAAAATACACATTTATTTACATTTTAAAAGATTTCTATCCCTTATTTTTCAAGGGAAAATACACAGATACACACCCACCCATTTGCCTGGCTTACTTTCCTGGCTTGTGGCTTATGTGGCCATCAGCAGCTCTATGTATAGTAAAAAGCTGTTTTTATTCCACTTTTTGTCTATTGGAAACCTTTACAATTTCCTTCCTTGAAACTAAAGACAAACGGATTTTGAAGGGTGCTAAAATCAACAACTCTAGGATTATTTTTTTTAATAGTACCAGTTAAGGCTTGGCGCCTGTAGCTCAACCGGCTAAGGCGCCAGCCACGTACACCTAAGGTGGCGGGTTCGAATCCCCAGCCCGGACCCGCCAAACAACAATGATGGCTGCAACCAAAAAAAAAAAATAGCCGGGCGTTGTGGTGGGCGCCTGTGGTCCCAGCTACTTGGGAGGCGGAGGCAGGAGACTCGCTTGAGCCCAGGAGTTGGAGGTTGCTGTGAGCTGTAATGCCACGGCACTCTGCCCAGGGGGACAGCTTGAGGCTCTGTCTCAAAAAAAAAAAAAAAAAAATAGTACCAGTTAAAATCTAACTGGCCTCCAAGGCATACTCTTTGCTTTTTTGTTTGTTTTTGTTGTTTGGTCTTTTTAACTAGAGCTTTCCTCAAGAATTCTAGAAATCCTTGGTTGCCTGCTTATACTTGAGAGTGAGAAACAAAAAGCTGAAGTGCTGAGCACCTGAGTGAGGATTGTGAACTGTGGGCTTTGCTATTAAGTGGTCTTGTTGGGCAGTTAATTAGTTGGGAAATATCTAGCAAGGTATCTTAAGTAAACCTCTATTCTTTTGTTGGAGTTGGAAAAAACTGTATAAGGGGCTGGCTGCTTCCTAAACTGACTTTCAAGCAAATTCCCTTATTTTTAGTATTTCTCCTACTCTTTGACCTGGGACCACCAATTATGGCCCTTTTGGAGATTCTGTATTATAAATAAGGTTTGAATTTTTTTTTTCCTTAATTGAGACAGAGTCATTTTGTTACTCTTAGTTGAATTGAGACAGAGTCACTTTGTCACCCTCAATAGAGTGCTGTGGTGTCATAGCTCACAGCAACCTCAAACTCTTAGGCTCAAGTGATTCTCTTGTCTGAGCCTCCCTCGTAGCTGGGACTATAGGCACCTGCCATAAGGCCCAGCTATTTTTTTGTTTGTTTGTTTATTTCATGTTAGCAGGCCCAGGCCGGCTTCGAACCCACCAGCCCCACGTAGGGTGCATGCGGCTAACACCCTAACCACTGAGGAACAGGCACCCAGCCAAGATTTGAGTCTTAACTTTTAGCATTTGTAGCTTGGAAATCAATTTTCTTAGGTCTCCTAACTTCCTTACTACCTCCCCTTTTTCCCCTAACTTATAAATGTTTTATGTATATTGTTTCTTTTCCTATTCTTCCCATCTTTATGGGCTTACTTCTTTTTAAAAAACCTTATACTGTCATTATAATGAGGTTTCAGTACTATAGAAAAGTACATGTATATGTTTTATCTACTACCTTTATATGGAAGGCCAATGGGTTTAAATTCTTCTTTCTTCCCTTTCCTCTAGGGTAGAGGTAAATTTTCCCTGGTTTGTCTCCCTGGTGTTGGCTTATTCGTTTGATGGCATTTATATGAAATCATTGCCCTAGCTTGTTCACCTCATTACTAGAAATAACATATTTGAGAGCAGCTATTCTTTCTCATACATCATAGTATATATCCCTGCATAGTATCTTACACATAGGTGGGTACACATTAAATATGGCTAAATTAATTTTGGTTGCCTTGTGGCCTCTGCATTGCCAGCATTCCAGAGTTTTCCCATAACTACTCTTTGGGGTTTTCCTGGGAACTCCAGAGCACTATAATTGATCCACCTGATTCTTTTTTTTTTTTGAGACAATGTCTCACTATGTCACCCTGGGTAGAGTGCCATAGCATCACAGCTCACAGCAACCTCAGACTCTTGGACTTAAGCAATTCTCTTGCCTCAGCCTCCCAAGTAGCTGGGGCTATAGGTGCCCGCCACATTGCCGGGCTATTTTTGTTGTTGTAGTTGTCATTGTTGTTTAGCAGGTCCATTTGAACCCGATAGCCCTGGTATATGTGGCCGGCTCCCTAACCACTGAGCTACGGGCGCCGAGCCACACCTGATTCTTTTTTTACGCTGTGTAGTGGTAGGGTCTAGAGATGGGAAAGGAAAAGGGGAGGACTGTGTCAGACCTGTGATGTGTAAGTAAGTTTATATATCAATTTCTTGTCTAAACTACATATCTTATCTAGAAAACTTGAAGTGACTGGTTTTTTCTTTGTATTGAAGAATATCTCAAGGCTGTATTTAGAGGCCTCAGGCCATCTTAATTTAAATTATTTTAGCAATGTTACTTTAAACAAAAAAAAAATTTTTTTGAAAATCACATAACATTCTAAATATTATATAAGACCAAATGCTCATTTGAAAAGAAACAAAGTAAAACCTTTTTTCTCCTCCTTTTTATGTTTTTATTTTTTTTTTTTTTTGTTGTTGTTGTTGTTGCAGATTGGCCAGGGTTGGGTTCGAAACTGCCACCCTCGGTGCCCTACCCACCGAGCCACAGGCACTGCCCTTCCACTTTTTTTTTTTTAATCTTTTTTTTTTCTTTTCTGAGACAATGTCAAGCTGTCACCCTGGTAGAGTGCCGTGGTGTCATAGCTCAGCAACCTCCAGCTCTTGGGCTCAATCAATCCTCTTGCCTCAGTTTTTCTATTTTTAGTGGAGACAGGGTCTCGATTTTGCTCAAGCTGGTCTCAAACTTGTGAGCTCAAGCTATCCACCCACCTCAGCCTCCAGACTGCTAAGATTATAGGCATGCACCACTGTGCCCAGAATTCTCCTCTTTTTAAAATAAAATTTCTTATGCTTTTAAGAAAATGTTTCCTCTTGGTGTTCTGCCTATTGGCTACAAGACTTACTGTAATGTAAGTTAATTTTTTGAGGTGTACAGTTTTTCATTTTGTTTTTTTGGGAGGGGGTTTTGAGACAGGGTCTTACTCTGTTGCCCAGGCTAGAGTGTGGTGGTATTATTATAGCTGGTTGCAACCTCAAATTCCTGAGCTCAAATGATCGTCCTGCTTCAGCCTCCTAGTAACTGGGACTACAAGTGTGTGCTACCATGCTCAGCTAATTTTTTTTTTTTAATTTTTTGTAGAGACAATGTCTCTCTGTGTTGTCCAGGCTGGTCTCAAACTCTTGGCCTCAAGCAACCCTCTCACTGTGCTAAGGTTAAAGGTGTAAGCCACTGCACGTGGCCTATGTACAGTTTTTAAATAAATTGTTTTGTTTACTTTTTGGGGTAGGATACATTCAAACTATGTTTAGATGACGACTTAGACAAGACCAGTTAACATGTTAACATTTTGTAATTTATAACCTACTTTTATAGTTATTATCTGGTCTCATTTGATTCCATGAATCAGGAGAGATATTATTCCTTTTTATTGATGAAGAAATTGACTACCTAAGAGTACACACCTAGTTGGTGACAGAACCAGAATTTGAACTTAGGTCCTTTGACCCTTATAACTAGTGTTGTAGTGGAAAAAACTCTGAACTTGAAGTCACAAGAGCATAATTATGACTAAGTAAATAAGTCTAAAGCAAATGAATTTTCCCAAGTTCATGGCTTTTACTAGATATTTTAATATCTCCTATAAGCAGCAGTATTATACTGACTTTCTCCCATTTTCAGAAGTGTTAACTGTTCATATTGCTTCACAGCAGAAGTCAACCAGTGGACACTTGGTATGTGTTTGTTTGTATGTTCTACAATCCTTGTTCTCTGACATGAACTCATTTTTCTTTAGGTGCTTCATGCAGACATCTGTACCCAGGGTTTGCTTCTGCAAAATGCTGATGTTGTTATCATGAATAATGTCTTTGAATATTTTCTTAATGAGGCAGACCAGGCCAGGTACGTTATTTATTCAAACAAAAAATTTGTTTGTTTTTTGAGACAGAGCCGCCCGCCTCGGCTTCCCAGAGTGTTAGGATTATAGGCATGAGCCACCACACCCAGCAAAAAATTTGTTATTACATATATCTAGCAAGGCTTGAAAAGAGATTAGTAAACCAAAAATGTTTACCTATTAAACTTTTTAAGAAAAACATCAACTGTGAGATTATATGCATGAGGAAATGTATAAAGGAAAAATAAAAACACACTTTCATTGTCTAACTTTGTAAAATGTTATATGTAATTTTTGACTGATGTAAAATGATTTCATGACCCAAATACCTAGCAGTGAGGGATACAATAAGATTATCAGTTCCCAGTGGGCCTTTATAGTTATTCTTTTGCTTCAGTTTTCTTTTCTATCAAATAACATATCATAGTGCTATCCTATCACAAAATAATGGGAATTAACTAAAGCTTGTAAATGAGTATATAAAACAAGATGTAAGAATACTAACCTGGACAACAATGATTAATTTCAGACTTTAAAAGTGTTCTTAAGGTAGCAATACTACGTTCCTGGATAGGATGTCCTGATTAGAAAATTCTCCTGTAGTCTGTCGTTTGAGATGCTGATCTTGTGGTCAGTTAGGCTTGCTGATTAATTTGTTTTCATAACATCATTTGGGTACTCAAGATGTAGGAAAGCTTCTTTCCTTGTGTATGAAAGGGAGATCTACTAACATGTGTGGATTAGTGCATCAGTAAGGTTCCTACTGCAGAGAAATAAAAATGCATGTAGGTATAGACCAGAAATAATTAACACTGTGTGGAATACTGAATAGCTAACCTCTTTATTCTCTCCCTGCTATTTTACCTTCTCTGTATTCTTCTGTTTCTCTCTCCCTGTCTTTCTCTCTTTCTCAAATACACACATATCCCACCATACTAATTGCTGCAAGGTTACGATCACTGTAAAACTAACAATTTAGGGCGGCGCCCGTGCTAAGTGGGTAGGACACCACCACATACACCAAGGCAGGCAGATTTGAACCTGGCCTGCTAAACAGCAATGACAACTGCAACAAAAAAATAGCTTGTTGTCCCAGCTACTCAGGAGGCTGAGGCAACAGGATTGCTTAAGCCCAAGAGTTAGTGGTTGCTGTAAGCTGTGATGCCACAGCACTCTACTGAGGATGACAAAGTGAGACTCTGTCTCAAAAAAAAAAAAAAGGCTCGGCGCCTATAGCTCAACCGG